TTTTTTTTTTTTTTTTTTTTTTTTTTTTTTTTTTTTTTTGAAATTTATTTTTGATTAATCTTTGAAATTTAAAAATTGCTGGTTGGTTCACGTATCATCTAGATCCAAGAAACGAGTATATTTGTATCCCTCAATTTCGTGAAGGCCAAGGAATTTATGGCGAGGAAAATGGTATAGTTCAACAGCGAAACGATCTTCCAAGATCCGAGAGAACAGGCAAATACTACACAGAAACCCCATGTGGATTCTGTAGAGACTCACATGTCTTACATTTATTTTCTTCCATACATTTAAACCAGAAATTTATGGCTTTTCTAGGGAAGAAAGTTAGCTCAACATTATTCAAAAAAATTAAAGTTGGGAATTGATTGACATGCTGTTGCTGTTGCTGTTGGTTGGACGATCCATTTAATGAGTTGTGTGTATGCTTGAAGACAATCATTAGGTGAAGACTCTGTGCCATAAGACAAAATTAGGACGACTTTTATTTCGGTTGGTTGTCATCTACACGGTCTCAATCAATAATATCTATCAATTTCTATTTTGATCCAATGGATGAAGCATGAACTACAAATACAAATAGATATCTATCTGCTGAAAATTCTTCTTCACCTGCTCGAGCTCAAGTTCCAAAGACTGCTTCTTGCGTATACGTTTTAACCGAAGTCATGTTGCTGCGAATAGCAATTGAACCCAAATTTAGAACTATGACAAATATCAAAAAATTTGGAGGGTCTGCAACAATTAATCAAATATTAATTCCTGGACTTTTTAGATTTTATTTTTATTTTTATTTTACCTTTTGTATTCTTCGTATAGCTGCAAAGACGAAGTGGCATGCTCCAATTTAGTCCTCAATCTTTCATTGTCTTTGATGTCCCGGAGAAGAGAGAATCTTGTATCAAGCTTTTCCTTCACTTTATTCTCGTCAATGGCGCTGCACATGTCCATGTCCAAAGTAGACTGGGTAGATTCCGTAGCTAGTTTCATCTTGCTAACTTTCCTGACGTTAAGTTGTGGGATACAAGACTCCTGTTCCAATGACAAGTCTCTGCATGCCTGCTGGGGAGAAACAGTGGAGATGTATATACTCGATTTTGAGTACTATTCATGCTTGATGTGCTAGCAGCCATAGTTGAGACATCTGGATGATAATGCTTCCCACAGAAGATTAAGTTCCCAAAGGACAGAAGCAAGGGAGTCACTCAATTTTGGATCAGAGGCATATTGCTGATATTTCTGCATATCAAGTAGATGTTTACGGGGACCAGGGCTGTAAATAGTCCATACATTACATGTTCTTGGTCAAACAACAGTACGAATCATGATAGCATTTTTCATAACTAAAAGGATTTCAGAAGCTTCTGATACCTGCCAACGACTCTGCGGATCCAAAACATAATGTGGAAGTAGCCAAATGCTTAATAAATGCAGCTGCCTTTTGCATGTCATGCTGTCTATCATCGCACAACATTATCTTCAAAGCTTTCGCTAGTACTTCACCATGATCTCTGAATGAAACTTGAATGTTACCTGTCACCCATTTGAAAAATAATAGTAATGATAAAAGGAAAAAGATAGCAGACAAGTAGAAATTGTAGGTATTGGCCCACCCTTGGTGATAAATTATCAGGATATACATGTAACAGGGAATTGAAATTGCTTCATAGTAAGGACCCCAAAGCACCATCAGTGATTTTTCAAAAAGATTAGATTATCATATAACTTGTTGTAATGAAGAGCATAAATATTAAAACAAATTCTTGGAACAAGCATTAACGAGGCTTGGTTTTAGAGGAACCAGTAATTAGTACTCTGTTTCAGAGTTCCACACTAATCTCCCAGACCTGTACTCAAGTACAATATTGTATAGCTGAACAAGAAAAGTCTTGTAGATCAACATTCAAAGCATCCAGGATTTCCCTCATTACTTAAATGCCACAATGCAACACTGAAAACGCACAGAGACGGTCAAATGCATTCAAAACCTAATTGGGTATATGGCGTGGAGGAGTCAGTGAGCCTACCGGGATGGACCCCATTATGTGGAGGAGTCAGTGAGCCTACCGGGATGGACCCCATTATGTGGAGGAGTCAGTGAGCCTACCGGGATGGACCCCATTATGTGTGTTTTTTCATGTTTTGTATTTTCTTTTAAATGAACCTGAGACCTATGCATTATTAGGTCGACATTCTAACCAATTGAGCTATTCAACTTAATTTTTGATAGACTTGGCTTCTCCACAATATATCACGGTAGATAAACTTGGCTGGTGAGGAAATCTTGACAAAGAAAAATTGTCGAAGGAATTTTTGGGAGAAGAAAAATAGAAAAGCGCTGAATAAAATAAAAGGAAGAATACGGAAGCTTCGAGATTTGACTGAAAAACAAGGCTATTTGTTTCTCAGACTTATTTAAATAACTATTCTACTCTAAAAATGGCCATAATACCAATTAAATCTGGGCCACTCCCCTGACATGTAATCGTGTATGTCAAATGGTCAGCTAACTAATTTGTGTATGTCTGCAACTAAAAATATGGCAATATAGTCATGTATGTCAAATGGTGAAAAGAAAAGATTCAACCGAGTAAAAACGTGAAAAAACTAAATAAGGAATATGTGCAAACTTCACATGCCAATAACTTACCTAGACATTAAGAACTGCATTGTAAATATGGCAATATAGTCATGTATGTCAAATGGTGAAAAGAAAAGATTCAACCGAGTAAAAACGTGAAAAAACTAAATAAGGAATATGTGTAAACTTCACATGCCAATAACTTACCTAGAACTGCATTGTATAGCTTAAGATCCGGAAATATGTTTCACATACAGAAGAAAGTGTATCTGACTGCATCTCTCTTTGCATCTGGAGCAAGAGAAGCAGTAACCTATGAGAAACATCACAAACCTTCATCAATTACCAACTAAAAACATGTCTCATCAAACGGCAAAAGAAAAAAATAATACTAGGCAACAGTTATACCTCTTCACTAAACTTTGTCTTCCTTCATTCCCCTGCAAATGACTTGATTCCTCACGATTCTCTATTTTCTTCTGTTCTTTTGCTCTTCACTTCACTATGCTATCTTTCTTTCCTGCGGTTAGATAAAATAAAAGCATGATTTTCTTAATTTACTTAGAGATTGATACTTGAAGGATGATGTTGTTAACCATTGTAGTAGTTATACATAATTGGGACAAACTTTATGTAAGAACATACCGCGGCGTGTTCGCACTCAAGAATTTTTTCCTTCCACCATTTGACCTACCTGGATTACCATATTTTGGCTGGCCTCTAGGCCATGTTTACCGGAAGTGACCGATTTAGTTGGCCGACCATTTTTAGGGTAAAATTGTTATTTAAATAATCAACGTGTTTTTTCAGCAAAGTCAAATCCCTAGCTTTAGTTCTCTCTATTATTTTCTTACGCTTTTTGTTTTCATTCTTCTTCCAACAAATTTTCTTCGGCTGTTTTTCCTCAACAATTTCCTCGACATCAAGTGGTATCAGCAAGGTTAATCTACCGGTGGTATATCATTGTGAAAGAGCCAAGATTATCAAAGCTAAGTTGGTTAGCTCAATTGGTTAGAACGTCGACCTAACAACACACGTCGTGGGGTCCATTCCGAACAGGCTCACATACTCCTCCACAGTGTCGGCACAGGGCAACAAACTATATGATCGGAGTCAGGTCTGCGTTCTCCGAGCTCGACTCAAGGATTCGCGGTACGGTGAAATTCCCTTTGCTTCAGCAGCACATGGCAAACCACCTCTACATCTTTGAGTTGGAGATAGAGCAGCCGATCAACAAAAAAAACTTAGTTTGGTATACTGAGGTATTGCCAACTTGATAATCTCAAGAAACTTAACAATAACAACTACAAGAAGTGAGCAACATGCATGATGTCCTATCTACAAGGATAAAACTCTTGGGAGTTTATTCGTGGAAGTGAAACTATGCCGCCAAAAGAGGATCCTAATGGTGTCTGGGCAACATGCATGATGTCCTATCTACAAGGATAAGACCTGTGGGAGTTCATTGGTGGAAGCAAAACTATGCCGCCAAAGGAGGATCCTAATGGTGTTTGGGCAACATGCATAATGTCTTATCTACAAGGATACTTTGGAAGTTCATTGGTGGAAGCGAAACTATACCGCCAAAGGAGAATCCTAATGGTACCTTACGCAGATGGAGAATCAATGTTTGCCTTGAAAACCACTCTTAAAGAAGAGATGTTGGAGCATATTTGAGATGACAAACACATCAAGAAACCATAACATTCCCCAATTTTGTTGAAATAAAATTAGCTATGATATCAATTTGTAGAAAATAACAATCCGCTTTGATACCAGTAGAAATAAATCTAAAATTCGCTATGATGCCAATTTGTAGAAAATAACAATCAGCTTTGATACCAATTTATAGATACCAATTTGTAGAAATAAATCTCTGAAACTCGTTTAGGTAACTTTCACGAATCTGTGAAGGAGATGTCTAGAGAGAGAGACAAGGAGACAAAGAATTCTCAAAATCCTTTTCTACTTATATGTACTTTTTAAGTCTATAACTACTATTAAAATGAAAAACAAATTAATTTATACCTTTTCCCAAATCTAAAATTCCCTATCCCATAGCCAACTTTTTTGGCCCTCCATTCTTTATTTGACCTTTTGGACTCAATTTAAAAAACATTCGTGAAATTAACAAAATTAAAAACTACTTGTGAGTCAGTTTTCCAAAATCTAAAATTCACTGTCCCATAGCCAACTTTTTTGGTCCTCCATTCTTTATTGTACCTTTTCAACTCAATTTCAAAAACAAAATTAACAAAATAAAAAATGACGGTCAGTCATTTAAGTTCATTCCAAACAAAACTCCCCCTAAATTTAAATGTTCTAAAAAGTTTATTCCCAACAAAACTCCCTCGTAAACTTAAATGCTCTATTCAATGATTCCACTGCGCCGCTTTCGTTTTCTCGAGCTCAATCGTGGTTTCTTCAATTTTCTCTTCTTGTCCTCGAGCGGCAAATTGAGCTTGTCCATTTCTGATGAGACTTCATTTGGAGCTTCTCCCATTTGAGACACCAACTCTTCATTTCTCCCGTTCTCAGCCACGCTTGACTCAGACATCATGACTTCGTTCAGTTTACTCAATTCCCTTCGCAAGTCCACAACTACATTTACAACTAGCATTTTTGCTTCCTCCAGTTCGGCTTTATAACGAGTGAGTGTCCCAATCGTGTGTCGTACATTCACTGTCTCCTGTTGGACTTGATTCAGGTTCACGTCGAGTGAGTTTCTCTGTTGAGTCAATATCTCTATATCTTTCTCCTCCCTCGCTAGCTCGTCCACTAGAGCCTCAATCTCCACGAACAAGCCTTTCTCTTTCTCCACACCTTCTTCAACGTTCTTCGTCATATTAGAGATTATCCTCCCATTCTTTTCTTTCTCATAGAAGGAACTCTCTCATCAATTTCCTTCTCTAACCTTTCAACCTTTATTTCTAAGGGTTTCTTTTCTTCTTCAATTTTCATCCTCTTTCTTCTTTTTTCCTCGAATTGCCTTTCCGGCCATTGGAGCTCTCTCTCTTCGAGCTCGGGCTCTCTATTATTCAGTTGTTCATCTTTATTCGATTTTCTCGTCTCTGCTATCAGGATTTCGCCACATCCGCTGTGCATCACCTCATTTCTAACAGTTTCCATCGCCTCACAACTGTCGCTATCGGCTTTCGCGCCACCGTCTCCTTTTGTGTTCGGCTCTTCAGTTTGGGCCATCAAGAGAATGTCTCAATTTGTTGCGTCATCCAAGGCTAGGTTGATGTTTTCTTCCACCTTTTCTTCTGCTCGACAATCTCTTGCACAATGACCCATTCTACCACAATGGTAACATCTGTCGTAGTTACAATTTTTTGCATTAGTGGCCATATTTCACATTTGTAACACTGGATGTTGTAATTGTATCTGGATGTTGTAATTGTATCCTCGATTGCGTCCTCTTCCACGCCAATTTGCTTGGCTCGATAGTCTCTTCTCATTATAGATTTCTTCGTAACTGTTGTCTTGACCACCTCGACCATTCCCGCGGCTTCCACGATCTCTACCTCAAAAATTTTGTGAATGAAGTACTCTTTCCATCTTTTATTGATGCCTTCGTCTGAAGCGCTTGATTGAGTGGCTCCTCCTTTTTCTTACATTGCTCGTGTGCCTCGAGAGAACCGGCGAGCTCATCGACCGTGAACTTCGCTAGGTCCTTCGACTCTTCTATTGCACATACGACATTCTCGAAGATGTCTGTTAACGACCTCAAAATTTTTTCAACAACCCGCATCTCAGGTAACATTTCTCTGTTTCGATTTAGCTTGTTCGCCACGGTCTGTGTTGACTTCTAGCGATTGGGAGGAAAACTTCGACTAAAAAACTGGCTCAAAGAAAATTTCTTCGAAGAAAAAATAACTGAAAGTAGAGAGAGATTTGATGAAGACTTCATGATTTCATTTTTAATCCGTTGGGATATTTAAATAACAAATTATGCATAGGAATTAGAAGAAAAAATAACAGTAAGTAAAAGGAAAGAGAGAGATTTGCTAATATTCAATGATTTCATTTGTTAAATAACAAATTATCCTAAAATAGGAAAATTAACTAACATCTTACACTCGACATGTACTCACTCCAATTAATTGTGTGGGTTTAATGCGTGGGTTTAACATAAAATAGTTACGTAACAAACAAAATGGTTAACTAAAAGTTAGGACTTAAATTGTGTAGGTTTAACGTTAAAAATAGTTATGTAACAAAAGAAATGGTTAACTAAAAGAAAAAAATGGTTAACTAAAAGTTAGGATCACATTCAGGGTGATTTATCTAATAATCTCCTCCTAAAGCCATATCGTATATCTATCTTATTTTGTTTGAACTCTGATTCGAGCTATGGCTCGATGTCCTTGGCGGCATGTCCTCCGGACTTCACGTCTTGTTCGGCCACCTCTTCTTCGAGCTGTCCTTGGCGGCATGTCCTCCGGACTTCACGTCTTGTTCGGCCACCTCTTCTTCGAGCTGGCATGCCGCCAGTCCAGGTGGTTCACCTCTTACCAGTAGGTCTTCCATCCTCCGATATTTGGCCACCAAACCATCATCGTGATCGGCATCTAGCGTCGAATTCACAGTACGTGGTGTTGCGAACTCTACTGGTTTCGGAGTTGCAACTGGAGTTATGGTTGGGGTTGGCATAGGCGTGCCCGATGCAGCTGCTGGGGACGGTGACGATTCTCGATGTTGTGCTCCTCCTTCTCCCGGCTTGGTGACGAGGTACTTCATCGTGAATTGATTTGGGTTATGATTTGCCTCGGCTACGTCGTTCCACTGCCAAAAGGTGGTCTCGTCAAAGATGACGTCGCGCGACACGTGAGCTTGCCCCTCTGCAGAATCATAGAACCTGTACGCCTTGCTTCCGGGTTCGTAGTCGATGAAGACGACCTTCAGCCCCCTGGGATCGAGCTTGGCGAAGTGGGGACGCGCGTCCTTCATGTATGCGACACAGCCGGACACTCGGAGATGACGTACCGCTGGCTTCTTGTTATACCAGGCCTCGTGTGGCGTCTTCCCGTCGAGGCTTCGCGTTGGCGACCGATTGAGGAGATAAACGGTCGTCATTACCGCCTCTCCCCAAAACCTCCCGGGCATCCCGATCGTCATCAGTAATGACCTTGCTGCCCCAACGATGGTTTGATTTCGGCGTTCCACCACCCCGTTCTGCTGGGGAGAGTAGAGCGTCGTTAGGTGCCGCTGCATACCAAGCTCATCGCAGTACTTACCGAAGCTCGCCGAGATGAATTCTCTAACTCAGTTCGTGTGTAGCACCTGCATCTTCTTTCCACATTCGGCCTCCGCTCGTGCTTGAATCCGCTTAATTACCTCTGTTGCCTCAGTTTTCTCTTGCAACAAGATCAGCCACATGAAGCGGCTTTCGTCATCGACCAACAGGAGGAAGAGGGTCTTGCCGCCTGGGGTCGCCGGCTTGATGGGCCCGCAGATATCGCCGTGTACCAGCTCCAACGGCTCACCGGCGCGGTAGGATGTCTGAGACAGAAAGGGGGTGCGCTTCTGTTTGCCGATGAGGCACCCGTCGCACAACTTGTTCACGCCTTTGATTGCCGGCAAACTATGCACCATCTCCTCCCTGTGTAATTTTTGTAGAGCAGGAAAGTTTAGGTGCCCGTACCTTGCGTGCCACCTCCAAGATACCTCTTCGATCTTGGCCAAAAGCCTGAAGGGTTGCTCTATCTCCAACTCCAGGACATAAAGATAGTTTGTTGTGCGCCGAACTTGTGTGAGCAGCCGTTGTCGATCATCGCAGATTTTGAGTAACTTGCACTCGATGAAAATGAAGCAGCCAGCCTCATCGAGTTGACCCAGGCTCACAAAGTTAGCCTTGAGCCTCGAGATGAAGTAGACGTCGGTTAGCTTGCGGTGCTCGCCTCCCTTGCTGATGAACAGGATGGTGTCCACACCTTTGATTGTCGGCAAACCTGAGACCTGTGTGTTGTTAGGTTGACGCTCTAACCACTTGGCTATTCAACTTGACTGTTGATAAAGTTAGCTCCTTCGCAATGATATCCCACTGATGACTTCAACCAAGCTCTGATACCACTTGTTGACTTCTGGCAATTGGGAGGAAAACGTCGACGGAAAAACAAATCGGCAGAAGGAAAATTTCTTCAAGAAAAAATTAACGAAAAGTAAAAGGAGGGAGAGATTTGCTGAAGACTTGATTTCATTCGTCATTCAGTTTGAATATTTAAATAACAAATTAATAGGAAAAGTAAATGACAACTTAACTAATGCTCTTACGTGTACTTCCCACTTACTTCAATTGTGTGAGTTTAATGTAAAAATAGTTACGTAACAAAAAAATTGTTAACTAAAAGTTAGGGATCACATTAACTCGGTAGGGATTTATCTGTTACACGCGTAATAATGTAGTCAAATACATTTTCTGACTCCTTCATCTTCATGCTCTCCAACTCGCCACGCAGAGTCTGGAGACGCACCTGCTTGACTTGGTCGGTTCCTTTGAACACCTTTTCTAGAGTGTCCCACGCTTCTTTTGAAGTAGTTGCCCTTGCAATCTTCTCAAAGCCCGACTTGTCAACAGCTCAGAACAGCATGTATAATGCTACATTATCCTTTGATCGTAATTCTTTTAGCGTCTTGTTTTGCACCGCCGTATAACCCGTGGTATCCTTTGGTTCTTCGAAACCTTCTTCGACCACCTCTCATGCGTCTTGCGAACCGAGAAGAGCTTTCATTTGGATGAGACGCACCTGCTTGACTTGGTCGGTTCCTTTGAACACCTTTTCTAGAGTATCCCACGCTTCTTTTGAAGTAGTTGCCCTTGCAATCTTCTCAAAGCCCGACTTGTCAACAACTCGGAACAGCATGTATAATGCTACCTTATCCTTTGATCATAATTCTTTTAGGTCTTGTTTTGCACCTCCGTATAACCCGTGGTATCCTTCGGTTCTTCGAAACCTTCTTCGACCACCTCCCATGCGTCTTGCGAACCAAGAAGAGCTTTCATTTGGATGCTCCAATTCTCATAGTTCGTCTTCGTCAATCGTGGTAGCGACATTTGTCTCATCATGTTCGCCATCGACTCTGATACCAATTTGTTGAAAATAAAATTTGCTCTGATACCGATTTATAGAAAATAAACGCTCGCTCTGAAACCAACTTATTTAAATAACTCTCACGAACTTGTAAAGGAGGTGTCGAGAGGGGAGAGACAAGAAGACAAAGAAATTCTCAAAACCCTTCTATGTTACATGTACTTTAACTATGTAACTCTTGCTCTTTGCACTCTTTCCTCTTTGCTATTTGCTCTTTTCTCTCTTTTGCTCTGGCATTACAATGAGATATTTATAATTTTTCTAAAGCCATCAGAATCCCGTTTTCAAACCCATCAAACCACTCCTTCCTTCCTCACATGAATGTTTGGCCTTTTCACTCCATTTTAAAACCCACAAGTTTTCATTGCTTTATTTTTTTGTTTTCCAAAAAAAGGATATCGTATTTCTTACTTATAAATCCATGATTTTTTCCTTCCTTAGTCAACGTGGGACTCCTCTCTTAACAATCCTCGACCATGTAAGTTTTTCTAATGACATTAGCTTCTGTAGGTATCCCTGTAAAAGTGTATGCACAAAAATATAAACAGATAGAAAAAGTCAGTTTGATAATACCTAAAAGGAGATCCTCTTAACAAATAAGGCATCTAGATCCCCAGTTATGCATTGCAAAAAACCAAGAAGTTTCAGTCTACACTGTGAAAGCATACATTATCAATTGTTAGAAACCCAATCCATCAATTGAAATACTAGCCAAAAACTTGTCGTCTGCATGATGTCAAAAAGGTGCACTTCATGAATAATATAATACTAAGATCTAATCGCATACCAAATAACTTCATCGAAGCAAGGTAGGATTGTGATGGTTTGAACTGATCTTTATTTCAGAAATTGTTTTGCTTAATAACTTCATTCCATTTCAAGCACCAGAAAATCTCAGGGAAAGATAAATAAAAATAGGAGCACAAACCTTATAAGCAATGAGAAGAGTAGACTCGTAGTTCCGCATTTTCTGAACACCCTTGGATACTTCCATTTCTAGCTCCTTTGCTGATGGAAGCCTAATACAGTGACTGTATATGCATTCCATAGCAGAGTAATTAACAAATGATGCAACTAAGACAAACGAAACAAAAATAGCTTAAATAAAAACAGCAAAAGATAGAATTACCTTCTGTCGGAGACCTCAACTTCTTCATCGGTGAGCTCTGGTGGAAACTCCGGCGGAAGAATTACCTTCTGTTTCTCGCCTCCTTCGAGTGGTTAAAGATTACAGAGGGAGGGGGCAGCGGCATAGAAGAAAGAAGACGGCGGGCTACTGAGTACAGTAATAGTTTTTTTCTTTTCCCTAAGCTTTTATAATTTAGATTAATGTCCAATATTCGGTTCAATTTTAATCATCTTTGAAGAATTAATTTAAGAAAAAAAAAGATGTTCCCATTTTATCACATTTTTTTTTATAAAAAAAAATGATTTCAAGAAAGTAAAGAAATTTATAATGCAAGATGGAAGTATAAAAAAGCAAAAGAAAGGGTCCAATCATGAATTAATTAATGTTGGGAAAGAAGGTTTGAAGCGATTCTCGTAATTGTCAATTCGGAACATTAAATTCTGGTGTTGTTAATAAATGGTGCGTGTTTATTTAGTTGAACAAACTTCATAAATATGAAAACGACACCGATACTTAATGAAAAAAAAGTTTATGCAATACTATTTTCTTTTTCGTTTTCTTTTTTCAATAAAACCCTACAAATTGAGGGAGTGGTTGAAGATATAATCATATATTACATGGTATTTGGATATTTTCCCCACTCGAATACAAGTGCAAAACACATGTTACAAACTCTCAAATTTCTAAAATCATTGCATTTTATATGGGATACCTGACATTTAATACGGGTGTCTTGTCTTACTCTTAAATGCATCATTTTTATTCCACCAATAAATAGTCCAAGTCCAACATAAAACAACACAGGTTAAAGGGAGGTTAAATTAATTTCTCTTCCCCTACACCCTAAACCATATATAATATAAACCCATAATCAAGTATTTTTCTAAAAGGAGATATTTAAAAGTTAATTCGTTGCTAGCTAATTAAGTTAAAAATTTATTTTAATTAATTAAACTTTTAATAACTCACTACTATATTACTTGCCCTATCACTTCCGTTTAATTGCCAATTAAGTATAAATTTTAATACAACACGCCCTTCCTTGATTTTTAATTTTATTTATTTGATTCTAGTGTGAAAATTAGACTTAAATTGAACAAATATTAATAGACTTTAATTTTCACATTTTAAAATATTTTATTATTGTTTTCTCAATGGACCGAGCTTAAAACACAATAACTACGTTGCAATAATAATATAGCAAAATTAAAACTAGTATAGTGATGTGAATGGATTTAGGCATGGAGGCCACTACTAAATTATTTATGGGAAGTTGAAAGATTAAAAAGAATAGGGAGGAAATTAGTAATATCATATTGATATTTGGTGTCCGTGCCATATAGTTGTGAAGTAATTAGTTAGACAAAGTTTAAGATTAATACTTGATTTGTCAAAATAAGCAAGGGGGCGAAGGCTTGATTTTATTTCGAATGAAAAAGAAATTAAGAAAAGAAAAAGAATACAAGGTCTGGTAGGGTGGCCTAGGAGAATGAGTTACACACTCTTGCCCACCACTTGCCTAACATTTTTCACATTTATTTCAAAATTAAATTTGAACACCCAAACATTGCCAACTATACCTCATCTTTATTTAAAATATCTCAGAATTATTCCACATTTACAGCATTTTATTTATGTTGTAGGCGTGGGATAAAAGATGGAAAACATATAGATTGTATTATTTATTCATCTTTATTACAGCAATTCAGCAATTTTGCATCTTAATAAAAAAACAAAAATGTATTATCATTTAATTATTGAAATAATCAAGCATGGATTGAATTCACGAAGTTATGGGCATTAATGGGGTGTTGACGTTGATTTCCTTGCCGAGAAAGTTTAAAATAAAAAAAAGAAAAAAAGTATGGTTGCGGAGTTTAGCAGTAATAACTGCGATGCAAGGTTCATAAAAGTCGCACATAGATCATAATAAATCCATAATCCTATGACATTACTTGTGGATTAATTAACAGCAAAGTTTTAAGATTGAAATTAGGGCAGGAAAGCCTCGGAGACGAAAGGTGTGATTAATGAAAATTAATTGAGTAGTAATCCAACAATAATACGAATTTAATTGGAGAGAAGAAAAATGAGAGAGAGAGAGAGAGAGCAATAAATGTGGCGTATAAAAACGTAGGTGGCAAACTATGACAAAATTAAAGTGTCCATTAAATATATTAATTTGTTGGGTCTGGAAACGCTATAATTTGCAAGCAACCATTTAAGATTAAACCCATCTTCTCCACCCACTGCCCTTCCAAGCGTTTTTACTACGCAACCTCTATAAATGCGCACTTTTTTTAACCCCAAATACCCCATATTCAACTTCACATTTATATCCAAATAAAATTTATTTATTACATGGAGAATTTTAGGTTCCAATTGTTTTTCCAATTCAACCCAATTTGAACTACCACTTTTTAAACCCTAAAATGGTCAAACACGAGAAAACGCGAGGAAGATATGTTAAAAGAGCGAGACAAAAAGAAAAAGAACAAATTCAACAATGGAAGGCATAATATTTTTGGTGTAAATATGTTCATTTTACATGTACCCGCAACAAAAGAACCATCCCCGACCCTTTTTATATGGATATGTTTAGGTCGATTCGAGGTTTCTTGATGCTCGGCAATGGAACAACAGAATTGCATCGAGGACATCTTGGGTTGTTTTTCGTCACCAATACATAAGATAGACATCCAGGACAACCCACCGCCATCGGCGCCGCCGACTTTCTACTTTCCGCCGCCTCTTCTTCTTGAACTTCCTTGGCCGCCAAGGGGGAGGACGGCGACTTCCAAAGCGTAGACCGTTTTTTAATCAGCTCCTTGTCGGCCCTTTCTAAAGCAGATTTGACCTTATCCAGAGTGCAAACGCTGGCGTAATTGGTCGACGACGTCAAATTCAAATCCAAGCTGGTTTCATTGAAGAGATTTAATGTTCGTTTTGAAGGAGATGGGGGGAAATTCAAGTCCTGGGATTTGGATTCTGTTCGATTCTTCATTTGGCGTTGTTTGGATTCTGAATTCAGAGGAGAATCTGGAGTTTGACTTCTCTGAATGTAAACTTTTCCCGACTGCAAACACGAACAGAGGATTTTTTTTTCTTTAAATAAATAAATAAAACCCAATGATTTCAGAGGAGAGGGGGGTGGGGATAATTAATCAGGCGAGTACAAACACCAAGAACATTTTAAAAAATAAAATAAAGCGCCGCAATGAATGTCATTAAAATTAGAGGGAAAATATAAAAACGTCACAGTATTTGCAGAGCATCCAAGAACATAGACCGCACCCACAAGTGCAATAAAATAGTTCCCACCCCATTTTTTCAGCCCAACTGCTGAATTGAATAAAAAAAAAAATCTTGAATTGGAAGATTTAACGAAGAGTTGCTATTAAAATCAAGGAGGCGTTGAGATTTTGGAAGTTAAAAAAGGGATGAAATTGAAGAAACCTTCAAGTCGAGGCGCTTTTCCCAGCCGGAGGGAACCTGCAAATCGAGGTCCAGTTCCTGAGAGTCAGCGAGGTTGGAAGATTGACCGAGCAAATCACGAGTAGTGAGAGCCGTTGATTCCTCGAGGGCGGCCCGGTTATCTTGGTCCTCGTAGCCGGCGAGAACTCGAATAAGACTACTCACTTGGGCGGCCATATTTGGAGCTTTATAGAGGGAGGCAGAGGGGAAAAGAGAGAGAGAGAGAGAGAGAGGGGACTGGGGGTTTGGATTCAGTGTTCGTGATTGTATGGAGAGCGCTACGGGAAATATAAGAGGATATTTATTTATGAACTAAACATTATTGCGATATTAATGGTGGGAGGGAAAATGGAAATTAATTGTTCGAATTTGATTAATGATGGGAAAGTGGAAGAGTTGCGGAACACAATTAATTGGGGCATTCAATGCCAATGACAATTACTACTACTCTTCTTTGCTCATTTAATGCATCATTTTCACCCTTTATTTTATCTAAATTATATTACAATGCTGTATGCAGGCAAAGGCCCAAATGAGCTCACAGCTTTATCCTTACTTTCATCCGTCTTTTCATTATCACACTGATTACCACCACTGTTTGTCACAAAACATGTGGACTATTGGTCGAGCTTTATTCGAAGACCATGTCTTCTACACACAAGAACTTGACTTCCATATAAAAGTGAATGAATGGTATTGATACAACTTTGTTACATGCAAGAATTGTTTCAGTATCATCAAAACCCTCATTCTCATCTATTATTTGGGAGGCAATGAGAAGCAGGATACACCTCCAAGGTATGCTCAGGTCAAATCACACCTTTCATAAAATTGTTGATGACTTAGCATGGAAGTGTAGTTTTGTTCTATATGAGAGAGTAAAAAGGAAAACCGACCCAAATGCCCAATACTCACCATCATCATTGAGTCGTCCTAACTCGTTCTGGCTCTAAAAAGTGAAAGGCTCAAGCTGTACCCAAGCCCAAGTTTAGTAGGCCTAAAACACTACATTCTTGGGTTGGGCCGAATGAAAGGGCTCAGGCTAGCCCGACTTTTAAAACCCTTATTTATATCAAATTCAATAAATTAATGGGTTGGAGGCTGGAGCAAGTTAAATCAGCAAGACTTCATCCATGAATGGAGCCCGCCTTTGGGTTGGTGGGTGATGATATGGCCGAGCCGATACAACTTTAAAGATGGTGGCGGGGGTCTTCATAATTCAAAGATTTTAACAACGGCAAAGCAAGGTAAGCAATTCATTAGTTGGGATGGGAAGTTTGATTATTCTCAATAATCTTCCATATGCTCTTCTTTTTCCACTCTCATGTAGTCGTTTTTCTCAGAATCTCCCAGTAATATCATGACTATTGAATCTTAGTGTTACCTTGAAAATATCTACTCTCATTTCTGTTGGATGCACTGTAACCACTACAGATTAATCCTCTGATAATCCTCTGATTAAGCTTGCAATTCCATATCCATGGCGTCCATGATCTTCCCTTTCATTAGTCAATACTAATAAACCTTAAGACGTTGAAGTATTGATATACATGGACCGTTAAAAAATAGGATGTGAAGTGCAAGAAAAAAATTGTATATATTTTTGCTTGTACGTTTTGCGTTCCCACAAATTTGGTTGATTGTAAGAGTATAAAATCTGGTTGAAAGAAAGGATCAGAGAAGACATATCTGGTTATCATAGCAAACTCATGTTCTTTGTTTGAATTTCATTTTATTTATATGATTTTGCAGGCATGTTTATGCACTAGATGCTGCTGGTGTACTCCCACTAGAGCTATGGACATCAACTTCCCTTTCCTATCTGTATGTTTTCTTTCTTATACACACACCTCCATATATTTCGTTTACAATATTACATCACAGGTCTAGAGTGGAGGATTTGATTCTACGACTTTTTCAATGTGGAATGTTTTTACTGGTAGCACACAATTTAATTGACCTGGATTCGATTCCAACAATTTCTCTGCTTCCTTACCACCAGAGCTTGGAAATCTTTGTACGTTAGAGGAACTGTAAGCTTTTCATTCTCTTTTTGGTTTTTTGTTCTTCAAATTCTCATACCTTTCTATAACTATCATGCGCAACTTCTGTTTTCTATTAGGGGTTGCCTTCTCTAGCCTGCAAATAGGATAAACACACCTTCTAACAAATAGGATAAACGCCTAAAATGTTGTAGTCATGTGGTTGTCCTCAGTTTTTTTATATCTAAAGCTCTCTTCTGAACCGATGGCCATCGGACAATGAATTCACTCACAGAAGGCCTGATTTCATCCCACTTTGCGTATGCCTTGACTTATCTTCAATGCACACTTTTGGTGTGTTGGATGATGCACCGTCCTCCTCGGTCGCATCATGACATTTCTCAATCTTGGCCCAAACATGGCCGGATGGGCGCCACTTGAGGGGTCGTCCCTCGTTTGTCTTAACGTGTGAGGGTCACAACCTACTTTCTCTCAGTGAGGTTGTGACACTCTCCCCCACTTAACCTAGTCATCGTACCTAGTCATCGTCCTCAATGTCATCTTTGGATTTGGCATTGTGGCTCTTGAAATTGTTAGTGAAGGCCAAATTCAGATTCAAGCTTAGAGCGAGACAAAGTTTATCTTCTGGAATGGGTAAAAATGCATCGTTTCTCCTATTTTGTTTCATTAGGATCTCTCTTCCCCCTCCCCAAAGGAAAACAAGTATGTTCAGTCTCTTCAAAAAGACGATCACAAGAGTAAAGACTATTGGACATCAAACCCAATCTAGTGAAATAAAATGAATTAACACACACTAGAAGATTTGCAGCAGAAAAAGGGATTAGGACTTCTTTCTCACTTAGTTAGACGCCACTTAATCTTTATCTTCCGAAGGACCCTCCCCAAGGCGTCAGTGTTAATCCTTTAAATTAAGGAGTTTTGCTCAAACATGAGGGGGGCAGAAGCAAACAATAAAAAATGATCCATATCTTCCCTAGACTTCAGTGTTAGCCTATGAGCCACCATGTGATTAGAAACTACTTTAGATTGAAATTTTACTAAGAAAGTCAAATGTTTATGAAATTCATAGTTAAGAAAGGGTGGAAAAATAAACATAAATTTAAAAATTATTATGACACAGGGCTTAAAAATTGCAAGTTTAAGGGGTTGGGGGGTCGGGTATGACCTGACCTCTAAAAACATGAGTCATAGCTACTATTATAACTTCAGGAAAGATTTAAACATGGGCGGTCAAAAATAGAGGGGATTCACCAAAAATAGAGGGGATTCACAAAGTGTTTGAGCAGATCTAGCAAGGATCAACAGAACAAAGAACCATTTTTTAAAATTGTTGGACACTAGTTCCAAATAATGCCACCAAAGCAACAAAATACAAGTGCAGAACAGAGTAATCTGCACTGAAACAAGATCCAAATGTCAGGACCACGACGAAATCCTTGGCATCACATGAATGCCCCATTTCTATGAATCCCTTCACTTATCACATAGAACAATCCTAATAATCCCAAGAAACATACACGAAACAGAGAAGAAAAACAGAGTCATGAAATCCCTTGAAGACCATTTTCTCACAGCCTTACTTTCAACCCGCAAGCTCTTCGCCCTCCGCAGCGCATCCACCTCCTTCAACAAATCAAATTCGTCCCCTTTCCGCTTCAACTCTTCAACACACTTGGACAGCAAATTTCTATCTTCTTTTTCCCTTTCTAACAATTTCTCCAAATGGGCCTCGAGATCAGTCTTGTATCTGACAGCCCAAATGATGCCCAGAGAGAATAAGAGAGAACAAATGGAGGGAATCCAGGATCTGTTGCAGGCTGCGCCGTTGAAGTCCTTGGCTGAGGCGTTGAAGAGGAGGAGTATAGATGTGGAGTGGAAGACGAAGAAGAAAATGTGAAGCATAGTGATTTCCTTTCGAACAGAATCGATTAGGGTTTCCTTGAGAGAGACTCGGCCGAAGATTAGTTCTTCCTCCTTGAGCCACTGCTTGAGAAGAAGTTTGTGGGTTGGGGTTTTGGCAATTTGGTGAAGAGGGTGTGAAGGTTTTGATTCCATGATTGATAAGGATCTGTTGTTGTTATCGTTCATGGGAAACTCAACAAAGAGAGATGTGAGGGAGGAAGAAATGCAAAATAGAAAGAAGAAGAAGAAGAAGAAGAAGAAGAAGAAGAAGAAGTGAAGGATGGAGAGGATGAGAGATTGAGTGAGGAGGAGAATGGAGGTTTTTCAAAGGGGAGCCTCTCTCTCATTCTTTTTTTTCAAATAATTGTAACGGTCGGATCTGGAAAAGCGTTTAAATGGGGTTTTCCCGTAAAAGCCCCCAATATTCTCTCTCATTCAACAATGAATAGGCAACTCCACCGTCCTCCCAACGGGCAACGGGCATCAGTTTTTTTTTTTTTTTTTTTTTTTTTTTTTTTTTTTTTTTTTTTTTTTTTTTTTTTTT